TTTATCCCCTAGCCAGCTACTGTTTTGTGTTCTCCCCATGGACTGTTCCTCCGGACCGTGACTCCACTCTCTCCTCCCAGGCAGGTCAATGCTCAGTCGCCTATCTGTTCCACTATTGCCTTCATCTCTCTGTCTCTACCTTCAGTAGCCACCATCACCACCAACCAGCCCAGGAGTGACCCAGCCTACGCAGCTCGGCCCAGCTCTCCATCTCCTCACCTCCTGCTGTTGGTCAAACACCCGGCTACTACTCATCAACAGGACTATGTACTATTTCCCTCTGTGTATTTTTACTCATCACTGTACATAATAAATCACTGCTTGCACCGAAGTCGGCTACCTGGGTCCGCCTCTTTCTCGTTCGCTCACTGACAGGTGCGAACGGCACATAACACCTTGCTTTGGTGAAGGCCCACTTAGGGTATCCACAAGTCTTAAGGGAGTTCTGGATGTGTAATTTCTCCTTCTTGGCCCCTTCTGCAGTTGTGGGCACTTCCTCTGCCCTGTGATTCAAAGTTCTGATGACTCCCAGTTTGTGCTGAAGTGGATGGTGTGAGTCAAAAAGCAGGTATTGGTCCGTGTGTGTAGGTTTCCGGTATACTTCTACCTTCAGGCTTGTGTCTCCTCCCAAGTGGACTGCATAATCCAAAAAGTGTAGACCAGTTACAAGAAACATCTTACCTCTGTGCTTGCCAACAAGGGTTTCTCCACCAAGTACTAGGTCATGTTTTGCTTGGGAATCAAATACTTATTTTACTCACTGAAATGCAACTCAGTTTATAACATTTGTATCATGTGCTTTTTGGGGATTTTTTTGTTGATATTCTGTCTCCATCCTTTAGAGACAGGATATCAACATGGTGTAATTGTATATGGTCTTCTACTTAGTAGGGTAATGAGGAGTCATTGCACGTTTTCCACATTTTGTATTTGCCATCAGGGAAAAAGCTGTTCTAAAGTCTAGTTCTGTGTGTGATGATACTGTCCGCTCTGCTGTGCCTGAGGTTGTAGGTGCAGTTTTTGTGTCCGAGCAGAGTGTGAGCTGGGTGGAGCAGATCCCTGATTATGTTCTCTGCCCTTTTACGACAGTGCTGTGTGTACAGTGTGTCCATAGCAGGCAGTTCAGTCCCAATTCTGCAGTCCTCTCTGCAGTCTTTATGACCCTTTGAAGAGCCTTCCTCTCTGCCTGTGTGGTGTTACCATACCAGACTGGGATGCTAGTAGTGAGGATGCTCTCTACCAGTCCTCTATAAGCCTGGGTGAGAGGGCGATGGTTCAACCCAGCTTTCCTGAGCCGCCTGATGAAGTATAGCTGCTGCTGGGCTTTCTTCACTGTGGTAGCTGTGTTCAGTGACCAGCTCAGGTCAGATGTCACCTGCAGGCCCAGGAACTTGTGGCTGTCAGCCCTCTCCACCTCAGCCCCTTTGATGGTCAGAGGTAGCAGAGGGGAGGGGTTCTTCCTGAAGTCTATTATGCTTGCGGGATGTTTGCACTCTTAATTGTGGCATTAACACGGCACAAATATGCAAGAAAGACAAATAACTTAACCCGGAGAGATCTGTGATGTCACACGCATGGGGGCGCCATCTTATCAGTGTAATACGCATAGGAAAAGCAAAACTTTAATCTCAGCCTACTTGGAGCACGAGTCTCCCCCATGAAACTTGGCAGAGATGACCCAGAAGCCTAACACTAAAGTACAACAAACTATTTTTAACCAAAATCCAGGTGGTGATAATCTCGATAGCAGCACTTATCAAGATACAAAGTGCATCTTATGTTTTAAAAATGCCCATCTTATCTAATGTAGCCATTTAATTTGACAAAAGATCACACATGTGCCTCAGATGCCAAAACAGAATTTAAATGTATTCTAACAGATTATCTATGGGCTGAACAAGCACTAGACCAATGGCACAGCCAATATAAAGTGAGCACAGAGTAACAGGCAGCTGAAGTATACCTTCAGCTTCTTCACGCCAGTATTTCCATGTTATCTTACGTTATACTACATCTCAGAAGAAAATGCACTTTTTACTACACCACGCATCTGACAGATAGTTACTTTGCAGATAAAAGTAAAAAATAAAAGATGATGATCTTATGGATTATGTTGCATTATTTTAAATGAAACAGATGCAGTTACTTGACATACAGAACAATTGATCAGTTCATAGAATATGGGCCTTCCAGATTAAACTGTAAACACTTTGAAAATATGAATATGTTGCTTATGCCTTAATACATCAGAAATGAAATAAATGATATTTACATCACAGTATATTTGATAGATATAACACTTTTTGTTGAATACTTTTACTTCTAATTGAGTACTTTTTGCTTCAAATACACGTACTTTATTAAAAATTTGCGATACAGGATATTGGATTGTTTTTTTTATTTTGATGGGGCTACTGTGAATTAAGATCTTAGCAGTTATTCCACCTCAGATAAAACATTTATTCTTTCCATCTTTATATTAAAATAGGTTTTCTAGAGTTTTATGTGACTGTGAAAATCTTCAGTTCTCTGTTGTGTTTGGCTAAAAATCTTTCTTCCTTAAATTAGATGTACTGTTTGACACATAATATAAAACACACACTGAGAGACACAAACACACACTCTGGGCCTGGTACAACAGTAAACAATAAGACAAAAGCTCTGTGTTTCTCTGCAGCCTACTCAGATCGACAACACTGCTGTCCTCAGTCTGACAGGAACACCAGGACCTCCTGGATCCTCTGGGACCTTTTGGACTTTCTAGGACTCTACAGGACCCTCTGGGCACATGGACCCTAAACGTCTCACCTCAGGCTCTCAGCAGCAGGCTTGGCTGAGGAAAAAGGTAAAGTTAGCTTGGTGTTACTGGTTTTACTGGTTTAATCTTAAACAGTGTGGTTTTTATTCTTTTTTTGACTGAACTCTTCTCGGTAAACATTGTTGGATTATAATGAATGAATAAATATCTCTGGCTCAACACCAGTCAGTCAGGACTGATGAAGCCTCTTGGATGAGAGGTGAAACGTCTTCGACCTAGAAATCTAGTCCAGTTGATTTTTTCCAGATTATAATGAAGTGCATTAACTCCAGTATTGTACTTAAGTACACATTTTGGTCACTTTCTGCCTCATTATACTTGTACTGCAGTACATTTGACAGTGAAATATTTTACTTTTACTGAACTACATGTGTCTGACAGCTGCAGGTACTTTGTAGATGAAATTACTTAAAAAGGTGACGAGTTTATAGATAATGATGCATTAGTAGAGATGAAACGTAATTTCCTCGTTGAACCGATGCCAGAGGCAGTGTGTTCACGCTGAATCAAAACAAAGACGCCACTTCTGTAAACATGTGACAGTCTGCACCACCGCTCCACACGGTGGAGGTCAAAGGTCAAACTAACATCTGTAACACTAGCAGGTTTACAATAATGCACAGTCTTCAACATCACCAGCAACAAAATGGTGACAAGTAGACAAGTGTTCACATGAACCTTTAAATAACACAACTGAATTTTTTAAATAACAGAAAACAACAAGGATTCAACTCAAACAGGGGATAAAGTCATATTTGTCTATTGGTGAGCCTTAAAAGTCAATAATTGGAAAATAAGTGGTTTAATACTAATAAACTAATTAACTAGTTATTAAGATAGCATCACCTATTAAATAAAAGTAGAAAACATACATTTACACAAAATAAACTGTGTGTTCCAGCAGCAGGTTGATATGAAAACACATACTGAGTTTACCATACAAATATCTTCTGACCAGTATAAGACATATTTTTATTTTGCAAACATTTTTTATGATGGAAAGATTTGTAACTGATAAAGCCATCTTTTTAAAAAATATGGGCATGTTTAGGAACAACAAATAATTATAGTGTATTACAAAAGCTCCATAAATGCTCTTACAGAGCAGCCACATCAGTGTCAGGGTCAGATTTTATTCTCTCCGTCTTGTTATGAGCACATTTCCCCCTGGACTAGTAAAGTATCTATCTATTCATGTAATAAATAAGATACGACAGTTCAAGAAAAGAACAAGAAAGTAGTAAATATATTGTAACAACTTAGTAACATTATACAACAAAATACAAAACCACAAAATGAACTAAATTAAGCTTACAAAGGATGTAAGGTTCCGTGTGATGGTTCATATGTGCAAAGGGTGATCATATCACAAACAGTGCAGCTATTAGTCCACTGTTATTATCAGTATTTAGCACCATGTGTAACGTTTAGGGAATGATGAACACGTGATGACCTGTGAGCACATAGACGTCACACGGACTAATGTAAAACTACAGTCAGATTAAAGAACCATATGTGAGACTAGAACGACAACGTTGTTAATTATTCGTTATATCTTGATGAAGTTTTAAAGCAGAGGAAACAGCGCCACACTGCCGTTAGCCTCCATTTAGCGGTCGCACCGGGTACTGCACCTGCAGCTGCGGTTTGTTTTTTCAGGGGCTCTCTATCACTAATTGCGCATGCACAATGAGATGAATGGCCGCTGCACCTGACGGCCCACCAGGAAGTGTGGCGGACAAATCCTCGGCCGTTAATCCCCGCTCGCCACGATAACCGGAGGAGGCAACGACAGCAAAATGCTCTGTGGTCCGGAGCGCCCAGTCTGACCGTCGGGACCGTCTCCGTTCAGTGTTCGGCCTCCGGGATCGCGCCTCTGCGCAGTGAGTGCATGCAGGCAGAGTGTGCGGGACTGTGCGTGTGCGCGTTTGGGTGTGCGACCCCCTCCATTGCGCCTGCTGAAGCTCCGTCAGGCTCTTGGCACGTCCACCCTGACTGCCATGGGATGCAGCGGTAGCACGGAGGTAAGCACTGCCCGGTTCGACTCGGCACTGACATCCCTGGCGCCCTTCAGCAGATAACGGGTGCGTGTTTATTTTGGTCACCGTGAAAGGGAGACCGATGCCAGGGAACGGAGAGGGCCGAGCTGGGCTTCGAGTCAGGAGCAGTAATCCAATTAGCTCTTCCCGGGGATGGGCGTGCTACCGAGGCCTGGCAACGGGCCGTGACATCTGATGCTCCCGGGGAAGGCCAAGGCTTCGGTCCAGCCTGTAGCTGTGTGCAATTAGTGCCGAAACCGAGCCGAGCAAACAGGCCGGGACAGAGTGTCTGTGGCTGGAGGTGTGGACCGGTCCGGTCTGGCTCTGCCCGGTCCTGCAGGCCCGGCTCTGCTCGCAGTGTGACCGTGTTCTGTGTCTGTTTCAGAGGACAAGGAGAGAGTGGAGACCACTGGAGGACCGGAGCTGCACGGACCTGCCCTGGTTCCTGCTCTTCGCCATCTTCTGCGTCGGCATGGTAACCACGTAGTACTGCAATAGTACTACAATAATACTGTAATGCGCCTTCCATTAACCCACCATCATCACTGGGATGGGCTCACACCCTAGACTGGAATAATACTACAGTAATACTACCATAGCACTGCCATAATACTATATTAATACTGCCATAGTACGGTATGTCTTGTAGTATTTGTGTAGTGCTGATTTGTTTGTGTGACATTCACAGTACATATATTATACTGAGTCTGTTTTGTGATTACAGCAGTACTGGTTGAAGTATGCTGAACCTTTAAACTACTAAAGTAAACATACCAGTATAACACTGTAAAAATCCTACTGAAGTCAAACTGAAAAAATCAACTGGACTAGATTTTTTAGTTGATTCTTTCTAAGTTTTTTTCAGTTTACTATGACCTGGATGACTGAGAATCTGCACTGACTACTGAAGTCAAAGTGCACAAGCAGAAAACCAGTCATGGTATTTGTGCTGAAACATCTTTGTGTCTGAATCCTGCTGCGTTTCACTGGTGGAGCCACTTTTATGTTCGTTATTGATCCATCTGCTGATTTGTTTCTGATTAATCAGTACCTAATGGCAGTTCAGTGTGTGTGGGTCCGTAGCAATATTTGTTGTCTCACAGTAACCGGTTTTCCCTGAGCCTTATAAGTGTGAACACTCTGGACTAGGTTGCTTGGATCCAGATGTGGTGTGCGGTAGATCTTATGAGGTTATCCTGCACTGTTTATGGAATTAGGGCCCTATTTCACAATGGTGAACAATCCTTAAAAAAATTCCTGGATCCTGATGATGATCTGGATAAACACCCAAATCTGTTGGATTGTTCTGTGGGCCGTACCCTCCCTCTCCAAAACATTTCATCCCAATCCATTCATTACTTTTTGAGTTATGCTGAGAACAAATGGCAGTAAAAACGTGACCTCCTTGGGGGAGGTAGTAATAACAGCAGCCTGGTGAACCAGTGCAGAATCACATTCCTTTCCAAGTTACTCAGTTCTACTACCAGTACTAGTTTTTATGAAAACAAAGAAATATACTGTATAAAGTGTGCACAACCATAGTAATAAACTGAAAAGGCTGGTGATCATTTTTCAGGGTTTGTTAACAGTAAAGTCAATTTTTGGCTTTGAACAAAACATTTGAAGATGTCACCTTTGACTCTGAGATGGAAACTATCATCTTTTACTGACAGCAATTCCCAATCAGCGTATTAAAAATATTCATCTCTGAACTTAGATCCTCTGAACTTAGACAGACATGTGGGCCACTGTAGATCATTTAATTCAGAGGAAACACCACCTGGTGGAAATGCTGAGGGGCATTTTAAAGCTTCTCTACCCAGAGGCTCTAGTGACACCCAAAACAAAGTGACACCATAACTTGCTCCTTTCTTTTCTTTGTCCCTTGCGTCCTGTTTCCTAAGATGGGACCTACAGATGCCTGGTTGGGACAAACTACAAACTGCAGCCCCCAGTCTGAAGCTAGCGTTAGCTGACTAACAGTAAACGTGTCAGTCCAGTAAAACGCTCTGGTTCATGCTGATGTGACACAAAGCACTGACGTTACACAAAGCTAAGTTACTCCCAAATTAAAGTCACATTTATTTATTTGTTTGTGTTTTATTTTATGATTCACGGACTGTACTTTGACAACATAGGGTAAAGAAGCTGGAAGAACAACTTGACATGCACTGATTGCAATTTTCTTGGTTGATTACAATTTACAATTTTTTGTAAGTCTCACCTGCTGATTGCTGAGTTTCTAAGAACTGTTGGGAATGGGATGCCTCAGACTCATCGGCTGGTCTCTAGCCAAGGCCCATCTCCAGCTGGTTGAGTGGAAGGGGGCGGTAGGCGGTGGGGGGTGAGGGGGGGGGGGGGTTAAAGCTGAGAGACACCTTGTCCTATCCCACATGAAACCACTGAACACAATTTAATCCACTCATCTTCCTCCTGCTGGTGGTGGGACATTATTGTTTACTGCTTTGTGTTTGGACAGTTGTTGGGGGTGCTGTCATTGACAGCTGGTGTTTTTCTGTCCTGCAGGGCGCCATCTGCAGTTTCACCATTGTCACTGGCGGCGCTGGTCGTCTTGTCTTTGGATACGACAGCTACGGCAACACCTGCGGCAGACGCAACGAACAGATTGAAGGCTTCAGGCTCAGCGGCCTCGACCACACCGACAGGAAGTAGGTCTGGCTTTATACCAAGTTGCTGCTGTGTCTGTCCACTGAACTGCAGTACTGGGCAGGATGCTGAATCTGGCTTCTTGTTCAAATTTTCCAGTCCACCTTAAAAGTAGCAAAACACCTGTAAAGGGCATTGTTCAGAGATTTCTAAGACAACCCAAGGGCTGAAAGAGACAGAATAAGAACAAGATTATTGGCCAAGTATGTTACACAGAAGGAATTTGTTTCTGGTACAGAACTGAGGCAGCCATCTGTGGCGCCAACTCAACCGATGGCTTTAACCATCGGGGGCAATTCGGAGGTTCAGTGTCTTGCCCAAGGACACTTCAACATGTGGACTGCAGGCACTGAGATTTGAACCTCCGACGAGAGACGACTGCTCTACCCACTGAACCACAGTCGTCCACACAGAATATATGCAAGGTACCATGTTAAGAGGCCTCTGACGGGAAATTACTACAGTGAATTTACTTAATGTTCAGGATTATGATATTCTGGGACATCCCCTGTCATATATGAGTGTTGCTTTCTTGAGACTTTTTAATCCTGAGCATGTAAAACTAGTAAAAGAACAAAAACCACAGCTAGACTTGATGTCAGATGGTCCACTGTTCAGGGGTTTTAAGGAAAAAAATGTACAGGTGAATGGTTAAAAATGATTATGATAATTAAAATAATTAAGAAAAAACTGTTTTTTATTGTAATGTCAAAGTTTCTGTTACTGGAATTGATTGGCTCTTGCATATATTCTGTGTCTTTCAGCCCAAGCGTTGTCTTAGAAACCTCTGAACAATGCCCTTTACAGGTGTTTTGCTACTTTTAAGGTGGACTGGAAAGTTCTAATAAGAAGCCATGCTCAGCGTTGTATACTACAGTAGGTTTTACTGTGTTACAGCAGTTTGTTGTATGTTACTGCGGTGCTTTTTACTGTTACTGCAGTATCTGTCAGTATATTACTGTGGTATTTTTAGTGAATACCTGGTTTTTGGTGTATACCTCAGGTATTTTTGTGAATTGCTGTGTAATTTTTCTGTGTATCACTGTGGTATTTTATAAATATTTGCATTGTATGTTTATTTTTGTGTCATGTTTTGTGTATTTGGGCCTGGTCCATGGTATTGTGTATCATCGTGCTATTTCGTTGTTTGTACAGGTATGTGCAGTTTGGCTCAGTGTGAGTTGCGACTGTTCTGTGGTGTTGTGTAATTCAGTATTGTATTATTGAAGCACTGCATAAGGTGTTACATGCAGCCCCATGTCAGTGGACTGTACTGCTGTAGTACTACTGCAGTATTACTGCTTAACTGGGTCAGCCTGGCACGGTGCGTTCGAGGACCTGTGGGAGTTTGCAGAGTTGATTGTGCTGACTGTGACTCATC